ACTTAGATTTATGGCTCTTTCCTCGCTCTTACATATTTCAGGGCCAACTTTCACATTCCATTTTTGACACCTGAGATAGAATATTGAGATATGTTTGGCACTGGATAGGAGAGGTTATGAGGAAAGAATTTCTACATAAGAAGGGAGCTGAAAATCATCCTTCATCTCATTGCGCTGTGTAGAGGGGGAAGAGCCAGGAGAGTATGCCAGGGGGAAGAGAGATCTTTTTCCTCCAAACACTAGACCTCCCAGGATGGCACTGCTTTCAAACTCTGCACCGACACTCTTGCTTATGGCTTCAACCTGGATTTAGAAAAGTTGGTTTCTTTAGTAACAGAGAGAAGCTGCCACACACCAGCTTTTTTTGTTTGTTTGTTTTTCTTTCTGACAAATATGTGGATCAACACTGTGTTAAAAAAAATAAAAATAAAAAATAAAGGCTGTCCGGGAAATTGCACAGATACAAAGGTGGCTGGATTCACCAATCAAGCATGCAAAAGGAGCTCTCAATTAGCACTGCCAACCCCTTCTAGCTCAGTCACGAGTAGCGGAGGAGGAAGGCTTCAACCACAGCCTCAAGGCACTGAGACCAAATTAACAGCGCTCTAAAAAGAGCCTTTTGCCGATTCTATGCCCACACCCCTCCCCCCCCCCCTTTTTTTTCTGTTAGGATCATGAAGCAAAAGGTAAGTGTCTGAAGAGTAAAATGTACAGTATAATTGACTAAAGCAGAAAAGCCTCGTAATCCTGTATTAAGGCCAAAGGAAATCAAAACATACTCAGGCTGCAGCATGTGCTCATAAAGAAAGCTCTCAACTGGATTTCATAAGGAATACTGATCTCAAACTCTGAATCCTCTCACTTTGGCTACCATACATGATTGGGGTCAGTCCTTTCTATGTTGGAATTCCTCTGAAGGCCTCGATTCATGCATCAATAGATAGAAGACAACATAGGAGTAAACTTTATTTAAACAAATTATACCTGAGGCTGCTTATAAAGCAACTCAGAGTACTTTTACTGAAAGACTGAAGATGTTTTAAAAGAATAGGTAAGGGTTCCCCTGGGGGTGCAGTGGTTAAGAATCCGCCTGCCAATGCACGGGACACGGGTTCGAGCCCTGGTCCGGGAAGATCCCACATGCCGCGGAGCAACTAAGACCGTGCGCCACAACTACTGAGCCTGCGCTCTAGAGCCCACGAGCTACAACTACTGAGCCCGCGTGCCACAACTACTGAAGACCATGTGCCTAGAGCCCGTGCTCCACAAGAGAAGCCACCGCAATGAGAAGCCTGCACACCACAACAAGGAGTAGCCCCCGCTCGCCTCAACTAGAGAAAGCCTGAGCCCAGCAACAAAGACCCAACATAGCCAAAAATAAATAAATAAATAAATTTATAAAAAGAAAGAGGATAGATAAGAAAATTGTCAATGTTATCAATGGAACTCTTCAAAATTACAAGTTTGGGTAAAGTTTGATTTAAGCAGACTTGGTTACACTAAAATTATCACCCCACCATGTTTAAACATCAATGATACACTTTATATTTATTTCTTTACTAAATACACTATTCAAGATTTGTGATCTTACTCATTGGAATTAGCTATGTACCTTCCAAATATGACCCAAAGAATAACCCATTGAAAGTGGCTCTTTGTCTTTAGTACTTGAATTTAGCCAAGGACTCTGGTCTTCTGTTAAACAGTGCTTTCTGCTGAGTAAAATAGCAATCCACATGTGCACTGACAGCATTCTGCATATGCATCTGCCTTTCAAGTCTGCAAATACAATTCAATGTGCCATAAAAGGTTGCTTACACACTGGTCAAAATCACTGTTCCTCTACTGTCTGCAGTAAACCTCCCTTTGGACTAAAAAAAAATGTGTAAACTAACCCTACACTTACAGCTGTAAAATGCTTCAAAGACATTTGGGGGGAAATAATCTCTTAAAGGCAGTGTGTTAAAGATATTTGTTTTTAAAGCATCTGAAGGAAAGGCAAGTCCTGGGCAACTATTTGGGAACCCAAGAGACCCCAGTAACACAGAAGAAAGTTCTGGTCTGGCTCATGCTCTAAAGGTTGCAGGATGAGAAGAGTCAACTTCCAAACCCCCCTTCTCCTCCCTCTGCCTTTCAAATTCAATCTTTCTTTGCCTTTAATCCTACAGAAAATTAGAAACAGTCTCCTAAACTGGGCCTTCCCATAGCAAATATAGCTTTCTGCTTTTGCAAAAATCCTATTACCCATTAGCAAGGGTGTTTATTCTAGAGTGAACCAGCCTCTTCCACTCCAGAGCTGTGCTGCCTTTACAGACAGGATCCTTCTGACTGACCTAAGACGAGCGCAAAGACATTCATTCTATACGCCTTGTGTTCAATTTAAAACCATAGACCCTGGCAATTAAAGAATTTGTGAGTTAGTCTCAAGGGGAAAAAAAAAAAAAAGCATCATTCTTAGTTGTCCTCAGGTGCTACAACACAATCCATGCCTTTCACTTAAAAAAAAAGAAAAAATCTACTGAAGTCTGGAAGTAGGAGCTAGAAAAAAAAAGGGGGGGGGCGGAATTTCCTGGGAACTTTGGCGACATAATCGAAACAAGTGAAAAATATAAATGCAAGATATTCAGCCCATTTTTCAGCAGTACTGATGACCCCTCAAATGAAATCTTTATTTCCTTTTGTTAATCATCCTACAATCTTGGACTCATACAACCTACCTATTTAAACTCATCTTTTACGGAAACTACATAATCTTCCTTTCATTAAAATTTCCCTTGTTGATATAGGCAAACCAGGTCAGTTTCTGCTGGATTTGCATACTTGCAAATCCCTTAATTCAACTCCTTGTTGAAGGTTTAAAAAAGAGCAAGAGCTGAACCTCAGATACACATAAAACAAATACTGCTTCTATGTCTAAGTGAACACTGATACCATTTACAGATTCTCCCCCCACCACCACCACCCTACTCCTTGGGGCTGAGAGCCGTGTCAATAATCATTATTTATTAAACAGGCTGCCATTCCCTTCTACAGAATGTAGGAAGGGAGCATGGAGGAGTAGAAAATAATTACCTTGGGTTTTTCTTTAAAAACCTCTGGAATGGAAAGCAAGGAAATCAATTCAGAAAGAATATGGAATATCCCCCCATATGCAAGCCCCCCAACACACACACAAGGCTGAGAAGTACATCCACACTCCATTATTCATATCAACTGTAACAAAAGAAAAGATAAAAAACCTGGGGTCTTCAAGATAAACGCATCTATTTTCAATCCATTGAATACGTTTGCACATACACTTGCACATCCTTTACTCATCCACAAAACTCAAGCAGCTAGATTTGTTGAGAGAAACCTCTACACACCTCCTGAGAAAATGTGCTCTCAAAAACGACTGCTTCAGCCAAAGGAGAGAGAAGCAGCAAGTTACCAGTTTGACTGCCATTCTGGTTTGTGGCAGATTCCCTCCCTTCCCCTCCCCTGTCTCTCAGTTTATCTTTTGGCCTATTTTTTTTTTTTCCAAAGCAGAGTAAAAGCATAAGGAATATCTCTCCTTGGACTTTAGCCACAAATACAACAAATCCAAAACCAAAAAAGTTTCAAGGATTAAATAACACCCCAGCTAAGACCACAGGTCAGAGAAATGAAAAATTGCCAGATGACTGAAAGCTTGGTACTCCTACTCAAGAGTTAATGATGAGCAGTCTTGCTTCCCCTCCAGATGTTATGGCTCAAAACAGAAATACAGTATAAAGAAGGCAGAGCCAGGCAGTTTTTGGAGAAAAGCCTTGCACAGAACTTGAACTGGCAGGCTGGGGGTTTGTCCTAAATAACCTTCACAGGTTGCACAAACCGTTCTCAGATCCTGATAGATAGTCAGATTAAGAACCTTCCTAAAATTTCCTTATAATAAGAACAAGGTGAGGTGGTGGGAGGGTGCTGGGAGGTCAGTTAGTCATCTAAAACATGTATAAAGGTATAGGGAAAATATACACCTCCCAGACAGATAGAAAGCTGTCATGCTTGGGGAAACTGGCCAGTAGTGGCAGCAACTGAGCCAAGGGTGAAGAAGCTACATTCAAAGACTGACCTGTTTCAAATGAGTTGATTTTCTCACCCTTGAGTGCACAGAACTCTGTCCCATTTTGCCTAAATTTTTCAGGCATATAGGGAGGGGAGACGAGGTTCACGCTCCACCTTTGGGAAACGAACAAAGCAAACGCCTGGCAGCGCTGAAAAAACTCCTCCTCCCTCAGGACCCTAGAGGCGGCAGCTCTGCAGGGCTCCCTTCATAATTCCCCCTAGTTAACTCACTCTCGGCGGCCACAGAATCCGTTTCTGCACCTTGGAATGGCCATGGGCAGGGTAGGAGGTGATCACTTTAGCCCTTCGCCATGGA